GGAAAAAGAGGATGCATGATGGATATGCAGAAGCAATACAGGAGCTGTAGGGTAAAGCAAGCTCTGAGGAAGAGGAAGCAGGCACTGGCCTGGATTGCGCAGAGAACAATTTGCTGTGTGCCAGGCATGCCCATCACTTTTCCTCTTTGGCTAGACAAAGCTACAGCTCCCCATTCAAGACACAAAGCTGCTCTGAAAGCTTGAACCAGGCTTTCCCTCCCACTTGCATTTCTGACATTTCAGAGGAACATAGTTGGTTCAAGTCCCATGTCCATAAGTACCATTAAACACCTATTCTCTTTGTCACAATCCATCAGCCTCTCACACTCCCACCCCCAGCCCCAAAAGTGACTACTTTATGAAGGAAAAATGGAGATGGTGAACAGTCCCCAGGATCTGGCAGCACAGTCACAGCTCCCCAAAGGAAGGATTATTTTGGAGGCAGCTACCAGCTGCCCCTCTGGAACTTTGCTCCTTGGAACAACGTTATGCTCCTTGGGGCCCACTGTACACAGAGCCCCAAAGGACTCTCATGAGGAGACAATCTCTTACTTGCTCCTCTCTACACACAAAAAACCCCATCCTATTACCACACCCTACCATCTGAATTGCCCTTCAGGTTCAAGTTCACTGAACACAGTATTATCATCTCACTGGTGAGAGACATTTTAACTGCACTCAGATTGCTTCTACCAAAATCCAGTTTTGGTGACTAAGAGTATTAAAAAATCCCCCAATTTTTCTTTGCTCCAACCCACTCTTGACTCAAAACACTAATCCCCTTCATGCCTTTCCTCCAGAACCAGTCCCAACCTGCAGCCCCTTCTGCCTGGCAAAAACCACCAGCAAGCTTCACTTAAAAAGCAGTAAAAAGCCCCATGAGAGCATGCTGGAAAAGAGTGGATTTTCCTTCTGCCCCACAGCAGGGTGGGCACAGAGGGCTGGCTGCAGAGTCTGCCTTGGCAGCTGGGCAGGAAGAGCTTCTGGTCACATTACAGTGCCCCTCTTCTTACTGCACTCACAGCCCTCTGGAGTGACAAGGATATTGTAAAACCACCACACGCTACCACATTCAAGTATATCACATTCAGGTATTACAGATCACTCTTCAGGGAGGAGTTCTGATACAGCTGCACAAAAACCTTTCACAGTTCTTAAAAATAAACTAGAAAAAACCTAGTTCTGAAACATTACAGAGCTGAAAACAACATCACACAAAGAACAAACATATTGAACAAATTGAAACAGTTTTTGATTTCCATTTGTTATAAGCTTTTTAAAATACATTTAAATCCATAAAGGAACCTTCTCTATAAAAGCCCTTGTTCATGTCTGGTTCTAAGCAGGTTTGCTAAGTTTCTTACGTAATTATTATGATAATCACAAGGTTAGCAGCTGCTTATGCTGCTTTTGATTTCCTTCTCAATCTTCCTCCCCTCCAAGCAGGGGATGAGAAGGGTGAAAAAAGTCATGAGGGATATCTGACTCCTGTCTATAGCTTCTGGGAATAAACTACATTGAGAGCAGTAATTCAGGGACATAAGGTTGGCTGCATCCACCCCACTTTGACTCTGTTCCTTTCAAGTTTTCAGTTTGTCAGAGCATTTAGAAAGATTAAGGGCTTCGTCACTCTCATTGGGGCACTTACAGTTTTGCCAGCAGCAGTCTGCTGATGTTTAAGGATCTGCTTTTGAACAGACAACAAGGAAGTATTTGTTTTTAGAAAGTATTTTGTCAAAGAAACTGTCAAACAGGTAGTTACAATGAAATCAACTGGAGCACCTCCAGCTTCTGACCAGGCTTAGAATGTTTGAGCATTCAGAACTCAAGCATTAATAAATACATATACACACATAACCTGATGGTGACACTACATTTAATCGTTTCTGTCCTGTATTCACAAGCAACATTTGCCTTTCCTTTCCTGAGTGGAAGGAATGGCAACTTTCCTCAGAATGCACCCAGTGTTAGAAGCCTGCAGTGACCTCATTAGAAGTTATTTCCATGGCCACTACCCTGTTTGCTTTTGAGTTACTCGTGGTTTCTCATAGAGCAGTAAAAACTCAAAATAGCTTAGCATGGGGCCAAGCTCAGGCCACTGCCACCCGTTTTTCTGTAGTTCACGTCTATCAAAGGGCTTCCTGTTGTTCTTACTGGGTTCCCTCCTTAACTTATCTTCTGTGACTTGACTGCCAGTGGAATTAACCTGAGTCAGCACTGGCTTTCTCTGACCTATATGTGATGCACAAGTCAGTTCCCGGCCTCATTAGACCTGTACAAACTCTTGCAGCCTCCATCACCACTGGCTGATGAGTGTTGGGACACAGGGGTGGATGAGCCATGCTGCCAGCGAGGCCTCTGCTCACAGAAGGAGCAAGAATATAACTCGCAAAAGGTCTTCCCAAGCAGAACTTTCTTGTTGAGGAACGCTTCATCTGACAGACCTCATTCCAAAAGTGGAACTCACCTCTTATAAACTTTGTTAGTAATCCATAGGTATGGATTACAGAACACTTTTTCTTACCCTAAAATAGCCCAGCAGAGCAGAAGCAACGAACTATTCATAGAGCCATAGCTGAATCACCAGGAAACATGCACTGAGTTGTCAACTGTGCGCTGTGCAAATCACTGCTGGTACTGCAAAGGCACCTGAACTGCCTGAGTGCTCAAACACATCTGTACAGCTGTGCCTGTTTGTTCTAACTTGTCTATCTGCAGCTTCTGTTACCATGACAAGAGATTTAGCATAAAGCACTGAACAGATTGCGTGTATAGACTGTGTTATAGCATCTTCCTGCATAGTGCCTTCAGCTGGCTCAGGTACCGCTCTTACTGCTGCAGCCACACCTTCTGGCTGTGGGCTAAGCATACAGCAGCACCAAGCTCTGCCTGAAAACACTGCCACAATGGGGTGATGATTAATCCAGGATTGAGGGAATATACAAAGCTGCCCTCCTAATTATTATATAGGCACAGCTAATTACAAGGTTTTTATCCTAATTGAAATTACTCCGCTGTCACTTCACATCAGGATTTTGCAAGGAAGGGCAGAAAAAAAAGAACCCCATAATGGCTTGTAACAATGAATTCTGCCAGCTGTACAACACAGCACACAGAACCTATTCCTGGATCTTCAAAACTCCCTGTGAGGGATGAGATCCAGTTATTTTCTGGAAACATACCTTCCAGCTCCTTTCAAATTGCAGCTTGTGTATTTCAAACAGCCATGTATCATGATAGCAAACTGATCTCTTTGCTACTGTTCTCATTGACTGACTTACTCTTCCTATAACTCTGTGTAATGTTAAAGCTACCTACTATCTTTAAGGTAACTATCTTAAGAAGAAGGTACTATCTTTACCTTCTTTAAGGTAAAAAGCATATCTCTTTACACTGATAAACAACCCTTGGGTTTGTACTCTCTTATTTATTGTGTACAAGTTCAGCCTCAGACCTCCATTTTTTATGCCACCAAGTACAATTCAGTGAGGCTGACATTCAGCATTTGAAACCATGCTCATACATCTAACCCATGCTTTTCAGTGATGCTGAATATCTAAAATTCAGCCAGTTCTATAAAAAGGGAGCCCAACCACACAGTTAAACTGAAAAGAAATAAAATAGAACAAAATTCTCAGTGTCTAGTGCTGGCAAATGACAGCTGGAAGGACTGCACCAGCCCTTCCCCTTTAATCACACACTTGCCTCGGATTTTCATCAAGCTCCTGCAAGAAGTATAACCTGTAAAAGAATCTGTGAAATTAGAAGATCAAATAGGATAGACTTGAAAACTGGTTCTGATCAATCTGCATATTTCTTGACGTGGCTGAGTGTATGGGAATTCTTATCCCAGTTCTCAAGCCATCAGATCAAACTACTTCCCTGGCAAACGCGTGTTATTCACTTTACACTCTGAACAATCAGTATATAAAGCAGCAGTGGTCCTTCCCCAAACCACCTTCTGCACACTTCGTCTCCCTCACAGGTAGTGAATCAGCACAGATCTTTCCTAATACTGTTTGTTTATTTGGTCATATTATAACAGCACCTAATGACACCAAATGAAGTGTCATAAAGCATAAAGCATAAAGTGTCGCCATCCCAAAGATCTTTCAGTCTTAGCAGCTTATAATCAAAACCTCAAACTCTTTTATCATGGTTACTAGGCAGAAAGAGCTGATACAGCCACAGCAGACTGGATGCTAAACACAATTTAATCATTCTGAAATGTTCCCCCAAAGGCAGCACATCATGAAGCAAGCTTACTGCTCCTCTGCCTCCAAAGCTTCCACACAAGTGCTCACAGAGCAGGAGTTCCACATCTGATTTGCTTATCTGCTGGGAGAGAACTCTCTCTTATCACAGTGATACCAACAACTGTGTGTCAGGCCACACACAGATACTGATGTTTAGCTGTTTAGACAAGTGTTGCTCCTCAGTCAGCCTTTCCTCATCCTTCCAGGAAAAAATGGGCAGCTTTCATTTTATTCCAAATATTAATTTGGAATAGCAGTTTGCATAATGCTATTGCCATTAACATGCTGGCTTACAAGCACCTCCTGCAGCAACTGCCAGAGAGGACAAAATTGAAAGACTAAATACCAAAGCAAATTCCATTAAGATACTTTTAGGGATAAGAAAGCGATTGCTCCATAGATGATTACTAAACCCAGAAAATACCTGGGGAATGATGGGTTAAGGAGGCTGTAGAGAAAGGATAATTGGCTTGCACTGGCAGAATTAACGTCATCATACTTAATACATCCCTGTACCTGACCCGTTTTTGTCTTTCCCTGCCTGCAAGCCAGTTCTAGCAGCAACAAGTAGCTGAAGCTCCAGAAATGCTTTTGGGTATTTCATGATAACCCCTCCATGGAAAACGTTACTATGTGTAACTGCAATGTATTTTAAATGCATCACCTGGCCGTAGAGCCACACTGTATCATGATAATCTAATCCTCATTTCCATGGCCCCTACTGTTTGTCACATTGTCACTGCATTCTATCTAGACTTTATTATATACAAAAGAAACAAACCAAAGAATTCAAGGCCAATATTTCTACCCATTTGTTAAAATGACTCCTAATGGTTTGTGTGTGGACAAACTGCAAAACTCTGAGGAAATCAGAAGCAAAATCAGAAAGCGTTACACAGGAAGCACTCAGATCAATGACAGATTAAAAGAATCATTTGAGCAAAACATCACAAATACAGCTCCGGATTGAAAGCCACTGACTGGCCATGATATACCAGAATAGACAGTGAAAGAGCAAAGCAGTGAATGAAATCAGGAGATGAAACTGTGACATTTCCCTTGTTTGCAGTTAAAACCCGCAACACATGACAAGGGCTGTTAACATGGACCCTGCAGTGGTGGCTGCACTAAGTCTTTACAAGTTTTCCAGATACACAGGAGAAAGCATAATGAGAAATGCTAACACTTTATTTGGCCTTGTACTCTGAATACTTAGAGTGCAAGTTTAATTTTATTAATGAAATAAATTAGAGATCAGTTCCCCTTGAGTATAATGTAGAGTACTGGCAGGGTAATAGCAAAGACAGCACATGTCAGTGCAGTGCTGTAAATAGAATTCCTCTTGATCTGTGCCTCCAGTCTCCGCTCGGTATCACACAGCTCTAAAATCACATCTCTCGCAGCAGAAGCCTGGCCCTTACCTTCTGCTGAAGACCTTGGCATGGTTCTTTCCTTTGTTCTAGCATGAACAGCAAGTTTAACACTCTGCAGCTCAGACACCATTTGTGCTACACTTTCCTGCAGACTACGAAACTGCTGTTCTAAACTCCCTAGACATGAACTGACTTGCTTAGTGTAGTTGAGCTGTTCGTTTAAAGGAATTAAAAGAGCATCTATATTTATGGAGTCACCTTTGTCTTGTCTAGTTAACAAAGCACCTTCTTTCATTTCCTGTGAGGTCCTTGTTTGCAGCACACTTTTCAGGTCTGCTATGATGTCGCTGAGATCCTTCTGCTGTAAGCTGTGGCTGGAGGCCTGTTCTCTAATGGCTTCTTGCAAATTCACTGGGCCCTTCTGTGCTTCAAGCACCAAGACTTTCAATTCTTGCAGCCTCACTCGATTAACATAGGTGGAACCAAGAACACCTATAATGGCTCCCAGTACAGAACCAATAATAGACCAGTTCTTGGTTTTTTCAGCTCTTGTTCGCTCTTTCTCGTGGCTTTCCCTTACAGCTGCAGAGAAGAGTGAGAATTTTTCTCTCTCAGATTCTTCTGCATTTAAATATGCAGCTCGGTACCTCTTCTCTTCCTGCAAGAAATACAGTGATTTGAAGGAGAAGGTATAATATGAAGCTATAAAGTCTACAGTAAAAAAAACTCCACAACCAAACCCAAAGCCCCAGCACAGATAAAGGAATGAAAATTGTGAACACCCATTAGTTCTGTTTCAGGAATTTCCCTTTTAATGTGGGATTTTTTAAATTAATCCTACTTAAGTCAACAAGACCTCATTTTAAGTCAAAACTGAGAAATGGGAAAGGTCAGCAGGAGAAGATACACAACACAAGAATCTGCCACATGCTAATGACAGAAAAGAGGTACGAGGGAGCAAGAGCTCTCCTCACATATGCTCTTTCAGCCCTGCTTGCTTCTTCAAACACCACCTTTACCACACTTCTCCCTCTCAGTTCTAAATCCCTTAAATGGGAATTGAAAGCAGCACTGGGAAGGATGTTTCAGGTAGGTTCATCTCATCAACATACATGCTTCTTATTCCTCTCCATTGTCTTTCTTACCCTGTTTGCAGACAAATGTCTTCTCTTTCTCCCTGCATCTCCCAGAAATATTCTTTTTCCAAATGTATATTTCTTCCATAAGACCACCTTATGGACAGCGGTGACCTGAAGTTCTACCCTTCTTCAGTCATATATCCAGTCTTCTTTATCTCACCCGCACAAACCTGATCCCTTATTTAGACAACTATAGCTCCCTAGCTCCTTCCTGGTGTTCTACCCACTATCCAGAAGCTCAGTTTAAGCTCAGACACTGGTACCCACACCTTGCCTGAGCTTTGCTATAGGTGTACCTGCTTCCAGCCTCTTCCCTGCTGCTCCTGTGGGTTCATCTGGATTTACTTTACTGCCACCTTGTCTTTAGCTCTGATCAACAAACTGTTAACAAACATGTTCCTTTCACCAGCTCTGCTTGGCTCATCAGCTGAGGTGCTCCTATAGGACTGCCTGCCCTACAGCAGCATCTCAGCTGCGCCCACCTCAATCTTCCTGCTTGCCCCCTCTCACGGAGCAGCCTCGTTCTTGCTGCTCTCTGACAAAAGCTCTCCTGAATTGCCTGGGTGTCACAGCCACACAGAAAGCAGCTGAGAGTCTTCATGGATCAACCACCAGAAAGGAGCTTCTCTCATCACATGGAAGGTTAATTAATTGAATCCCAGCTTTTTGTTCACTACTCACATATGATTAATTTTCTTGGCTCACTATCTGCAGCCTTCTTCTCCAAATTTGCTATACCATTTTCACATATATAAAATTAGCACAGATCAAACCATCAGTTTAAAACTAGTATCATAATTGAGATCACTGTCCTTCAGAACTGAACTGCGTCTACAAAAACAACCACTAGTGATGGAAACAAAGCACAGATTTTCATCGTATTTGCCACTGCTAAAGTACCAACAAATTGCAAATTACCTGCAGCAACCTGTGTTCCAGAGTGGCCAGTTCTAAATACTGGGTGTCATCCCGTGAGACCCTGTCTAAACGGTCCCGAATTTCCTTCAGTTTACTCTGTTGGGCTTCTACATTTTCACGGGCTTCTCGTACTATCCCTCGAGCTATCATAAAGACATTTTCAGCCTGAGAAGAAAGAGTATTCCTTTTAGAGACTTATTACCAGACACATCTAAATCAATATATCAATTCTGGAGGGACTAAAAAACCAACCCCCAACAAAACAAACCATGCTCTATTTCAATCTAAGGCATAAACTGCATTTACAAACATGCACAGAGGAGAACACATTCTTAGTATGTGCATACAGTCAGAACAAAAAATAGACATGATTCTCCTTGGAGGATCTTTTTTGCCTCACAGCCAGTATTTATACTTCATATTGCTTACACGTAAGTTGTAAGTGTCCACACTGTCTCCACATTTACCTCTGTCACTTTTCCCTGAGCCTCTCGAACCTCATTAATTCCAACAAACTCTTCGTATCTGTCCCACCAGCTCTTGCAGGTCGCAGACATCTTCTGAAGGGAGTTTTTTGCCATCACAGCCCCAGCCTCTGTCAGTCGATTCAGAAGAGCTGAGGCCACTTCTAGTGCAGACTTGGCCTCAGGCCTCTTGGGCGCTGATGAGCAGTAAGTCCGCACTATGTGGACATTCATTTTTGGACTCCACTTTATCAACGAGTGGTGGTACTGCAGACCACAGGACACTGAGGACACCCCAGACTTATATTTCATTGGCCCCATGTCTTGAATTTAATCACTGAGTAAAAGAGCTACAAGGATGAAGAAGAAAAAAGAATGGCTATTGAAGGATGGCTGGTTCATACCTCTTCAAACTACATGTGCACCAAACCCACTATAATCCAAGAATGGCCAAACCAGTCCCAGTTTTACACCTTTACTTACCTAGAGAACTCTTCACAGTTTTCAACAAAGGGCAATTCTGCCACAGATTCCTGCTTTTCTGCTGTTAGTAAAGTACTCCCACCATGCTTCTTCATTACTAATTCACTCACTGAGTGAACAGTGATTGTGTACAGATCCACTACTAGCTGGAGTAGCTTCAGAGTAATTTAATGCTTCAGCACAGAAGCGACTGCTGTATGAAATCCTGCCTTGTGCTTTCACACCTGAGTTTGGTGTGTCCTGTCACAAGTACTGACAATCCTGCAAAAGAACAGAAGAGGAAAAAAGGCAGAGAAGGGGAAAAAAAATCTTCATAAGAAAAGAAGTGGGGCTTGACCATTCCCTTTATCTTACGTTCCATAGATACACAAGGTGTTGAGGAATGCAAAGACAAAAACATCGAGGACAGCGACAAACAGAGAAGTGTGAACTAAACACAGTGAGTGTTCTCACGAGACAGCCTAGAAAAGTAAAATAGAAGGAAGAGCCACAAGATCAGGCAAATAGCACACAGCTGGGGCTGCATTTTAAAATGAGCTTAAATTTGTGCTTATGCTGCAAAGCCAGACTGCCAGTTATGGTTTATTGTCTATCAGCTTGTAAATAAGATATTGACTTTCTACTGAGTGCACTCCTCTAAGAACTAGAAACAGAAAAGCTTTCAAAGCAGATTTTATATGAAGCCTGTGTATAAACTTCTTGACTATATTAGGTTTTGACTAACATCATAGAAAACCATGGGTTATTGAGAAAGCTTGACAGCTGCTGCAGAGGGGTTTTTGTTATTTTAAACAGTTTTCCATGTTAATTTTAGGTGGCTAATGACATCATATATGTGCCAATACAAGCACCTCCATAGGAAAGGATTCTTCCTACTGGAGAACAGTTTTAATCAGCTGTTAGCTGGCTACTGATTCTGAACACCACTGCTTCATTCCTTTTCAGTGTTTCTAACAAATAATAATACCACCAAGTAGCATTATAAAAAATCTTCTCAGTTGTTTTATATACATAATAATATGGTAGCTCAAAACCACAAGAACACGGAAATGAATTAAGTTCTCTCTCCTCCAGCACCACTCATTCATCTTACCCTTACAACTTACTTTACGTTGCAGGCCACGTACTGAAACCCCAACTCAACTTTGCCCTTTCTAGACTGAAGACTTCACTCTTTTAACTGCACTACTACATGAGACGTTTTACCAAATATTCAGGTTCTTAAAGCCAGTATAGTAAAAAGAAAGAGAAAGCTGACAGGTTTAGAAGAATGGTTATGTAGACAGTTTCTAACAGACTGAAAGAAGCAGTCTCAGCCTGAGCTAATAAGGACCTAAGAGCCATGAATGCTCAGACACAACATCCCTTCTCTCGCTCTTGCTTCCCTTGTAAGGAAAACAGTTTCTTCTGTCCACTATTGACAAACAGCCTTTCTAAAGGTTTACACCCCAGTTACTACACACCGCTGGCGAGTAAGACTAGTTTATCCTGCCTTACTTCGCAGCAGCCTCTTTTGCCACGGCCAGAATCTCCGATGCACAGACTCACAACCACTCCTCATGCTCCGGAGGGGTGAAAAGCTTGGGTTTTCCACATGACCAACCCGTTTCCGTGCCGGAGGGGCCCTTCCATCTCACAACAGAGCGACCCCGGCACCCCATAGCAGCACAGGGAGAGCTCCACCGCCTCCAATCTCCACGCACAGGCCCGGGCAGCGACGCCCGTCTCGCCTCCGCCACAGCAGACGGCCCGCAGGAGGGAGCGCTCCGCCGCGGGGGGCTCCAGAGCCTGCCCCCGCCTAGGCCGCGCCCTCCAGCGCCAGAGGCGACCCGGAGCTCTGTGAGCAGCGGCGGCCGGGCTGGGCCAAGCCTGGCCCCCAGGCAGCCGCCCCCGAAGAGCCCGAAACGCTGCCAGCCCCGCCGCACTCCCCGGCCCCAGCCCCGGCAGCACTTCTTACCTGCCCGCGGCCCGGCCCCGCCCGGCGCCTGAGGCGGAAGCGGCAGCGGAAGAGCTACGGTGGCCGAGCGGGGCCAGGCGGAAGCGCTCGGGCAGGGGGCGGTGCGGCGGAGAGGAGCGGGCACCATGTCGGGCCGAGAAGGTAAGGCTGGGCCCGGGGCTCCCGGCACCGCCTGCCCTTCACTCCCTCCCCTTTCCTCACTGTCTCATCTCTCTTTGCAGGCGGCAAGAAGAAGCCGCTGAAGCAGCCGAAGAAGCAGTCGAAGGACCTAGATGAGGTAGGGCGGTGGGTGAGCCCTGAGGGGTGGCCGCGGTACCGGGCCTGTGGCACCGGCCGGAGCCCCGCGTGTGTTGAGGCTGTTTAGACCTTCAGTTGCCTCTCGGCTCAGCCTTCCGTGGCAGTACACATTCTGTGAACCGTCTTTCTGACGGTAAAACTCACGCAAGGAGACCGGGGAGTGATGCGCTGCCTTCCGCGGCCGCCGGTTTCCGTTGTTCCCTGCTGACACCCTGTCTGTGTTCACGGTGGACGCAGCAGTGCTGGCTAACGGAGGAGCCCGGTGCCATGGTGAAGGCTGGAGTGTCCCTGGGCTGTGATATGGGGTCTCACAGTTTGGGGTGATCGCAAGAGCCTGAGCGAGGATAGAAAGCTTGGGGATTCTAAAGTGGTTTAAGTAAATAAGGTACTAGTGAACCTCATGGTAGAGATACTTAAACGTAAGGGATCAGATTACAGGTATAAGCTGTTATTTCTGAGGGTTATGGAGGATGGATGAGGCACCAGTGACTGGAAAAAAAAACAAATATGGCATTACTTTAAAAAGGGAAGAGAGAAATCATAGCTTTCTAGGTTAGCTTTGTTAGAGAAATGATAGAACCAACTCTGTGCTTGCAGGATCCAAGTTCTAAGAATGTAAACATTAATAGCCAGGATGGATTTTAGTAAAACTGCAGCAAATGAAGGAAATTCTTTTGTGTAGCAGGGCAGTGCTCTGTGTGTGAGGAGCACACAGAGCAGACAGGAGGTTCTTGGTGCTAGTTCGTGTAATGAGCTCAAACATGAGGCAGGATCGGGGCACTGGAAGATGATGAAAGGTGAGCATCGTGCTTGCTGCGGTGCCACACTCTCAGTGTAGTTACTAATGAGCCTGTGTCAGACTGCAGGGATGCATTGAGTGGGGTTTTGCAGGATTTTGTGATCAGTTGGAGTCTAAGTAATGCTTTGGTTAGTGCCTTGGGTGACTGACAGACAACACAGCTTATTTTTTATCTTGTGAGGGTGCTGAGGTGCTGGCACAGGGTGCCCAGAGAAGCTGTGGCTGCCCCATCCCTGGCAGCGTTCAAGGCCAGGTTGGACACAGGGGCTTGGAGCAAGCTGCTCTAGTGGAAGGTGCCCCGGCCCGTGGCAGGGGTTGGGACTGGATGAGCTTTAAGGTCCCTTCCAACACAAACCAGGCTGGGGTTCTATGACTGGCTCTATGAAAAGAAACCAGTGGGAAATCTGGAGAGAGAAACAATATTCTGCTCTATGTGACGGGGGAAGTAGCAGGGTTAGATTGCAGCAAAGGAAGCTTTAACTTAAAATGAGGAAGGCTTTCCAGCTATATAAAGGTAGTGGAGCCATGAGCTGGGTTGGTGAGGATTCTGTAAAAATCTGTTGTCAAGGTCCTCAGATTTAGTTACCTCAAAATGCTGAGCACCAAGAGAAAGGACCATGGTACTTTGCAGCCCTGGTATCTGTGAGGAATATGTATCTACGGGATAGAGTATGGCTGAGCTCTTGTGAGTTCCAGAGGCTGTTCCAGCAGGGATGCTCAGCAGCTGCTCTGCCTACAATTTGCCAATGGTTTCATTAGATTTCTTGGAACTGATACAAATGTGTTAAACCCAGGAAAAACAGTGACACATGCATGAAAGGATCTTTATTAATTAATTTTTTGGGGGGCGTAAAAGCAACCTTATTTGCTTGCATCCCACATAATCCAAATTTTATTGTTAGCCAGCACTGTGCACCAGGCTCCCAGTACCACTGATGGCATATTCATGAATGCTTTTAGCTCAAACATCTATTTTTCAGAGGGCAGAGTGAGATGATGCCACAGGACGTGAAGCAGGTTTAATTTCTGAACGATCAAATAGACAAAGTTTAGTACAGCAAAAAGATGTCATGGTTCAGCAAGGTTTTGCTTATTTAGCATTGAGCCATCTTGTATCGATTCAGTCAGGTTTTTGTAGCTGTTAGAACATTATGTTTGTTTCTCATTGCTTGTGAGCTGGTTTTGAATCTTTCTCTGGGGGAAGAGATGGTACTGAACACCACTGTTCTTTTCTTTAGACAGATCTGGCATTTAAACAAAAGCAGAAGGAGGAACAAAAGAAACTTGAGGAGATGAAAGCAAAGGCTGCTGGAAAAGGTCCTCTCGGTAAGTGAGGTGCCATGCAACAGGAAAAGCAGAGAGCTTGCTGGCTTCAAATGTAATGGTTTTGCCTGACAAACATAACAAGGCCCGTACCTCTGGGTTATTTAACACCCACCAGCAGGTTGATGGCAGGTGCAGATGATGAGTAACAAATAGATGCTAATTTATTTTATTTCTTTTGCTATGCAGTTTTATCCCCCAAAGACTGGTGCAGGGCCTGGTTTAACAGGTATAACTGTGTCTGGCATGCTAACCTCCTCCAGTGGGGTGGTGCAGAGACATTTCTACTCTTCTTTCAGCATACCATCCTTTTCTGTTCAGATACATAACATGTAAGCTTTGCCTACAGAGCACTTGATTCCTGGCAGAAAAACCCACATGACTGGAAATTAGCGTGGCAAGAAAGCTTGCAGGGTGCATCCTGATGGTGCCTTGAGACTAGTCTTTCTCTCAGGTAGTGAGAGGAGGAAGTAGTGTTAGTGTGAATCTGCATTTATTTTGAACTCCTCCAGTATCTGCAGTGATAGGATTAGGGCTGTTTAGGGTGCTCCCTGCCTATTCCCTCTAGGAGGTTTTAACCTGTGGTCCATTAATGTACCTAATCACTTTTCCATTCTGTGAAGACCATTAAACTTTACACTTTCCTATTCCTTAGCAAGCTTTCAGTCTTGAAAGCCCTTCCAGCAATCCCGTAGCAACTCCATTCCACTAACAACCTTTGTGATGGAATCTCATCAGGCACTGTTTGAAAATAAGAAGTCCCCTGGATTCACTTTATCTGTACACTTAGAGATAACCTCAGAGTTCCAGCAGGTCAGTGAGGAAGGATTTACTCTTTCCAGGAGTCCTGTTACCTTTCACAGGGCTGTGTTTATCCATTTGCTGTGCTACAGACTCTGTTTCAGAGATCAAGGTCAGACTCGCTGGTCTGTAGTTCCCCAGTTCTTTAGGAACTCTCTGTGTATGTGGGAGCTGTGCTGCCCATCTGAGCCCTCTGACATGGTGGCTGTAATGATAAGTTTCAAGTCTCAGCCAGCAGTTCTGCATTTTCAGTGCTTGTCAGTGCTCTTGGAGGGAGTGCCACCAGTCCCACTGACTTGGGATATTTCTTGTTTATTTATCTCAAATGGATTTACCTCCTCTGATTTATCAGCACACAAAAGATGTGCAGGGTGTGGGACCTGGGATGCCTTTGGTGTTACAGACCAGTGGAAAACAATTCACTGAGCCTCCCCTCTGTGTCCTTACCATCCCAAACTTGTACTGCATAGGGTGCCTCAGCTTACAGATTTCTTCATAGATCTTTCTTGCCATTGTTACTCTGCCTTTTTTTCTAGGCTGAATTTCAGTCACCTGGTCCTTGTCAAGGCAGACAGTGATTGTTATGTTACTGTAGGAGGGGTAGAGCGTTCCCAAGAGCCTCAGCATTGCGTGTTAGAATCATGATGCAGTGTGAAGTCTGTTGTTGACCACCACTCCTTGCAGCAGGCTTGCTGTTCTTTTTCCCCTTCCACTGGTCACACATGACACATGCTGTAAAAAAAAAAACAGCTTAGCTGTGTTACTATGTTGTGTTCTGTCACCCTGCTTTAGCCTCTTCAGTAATAGAGGCTGCAGAGGACAGCTAATTCCAGAGAACTGGAATAATTCCAGTACCTGCTTCCATAGAGCTTTGATCCCAGCTGGGGGTTCTGGTTGCTGCAGGGATAGTGATGCTTTTACTCCCTTAGCCTCAAATTTGATTTAAGCAGACTGTAGTCCTGCTGCACAAGAACCAAACAATGGAGGAACAAAAGAATTGTTGAAATACTTAGTTCTGTTGTAGATTTATGGGGCATATTTGGTTCTGGGAGAAACTTGGTTTCTAATGTTGCGTAAGTTACTTATTCAGAGTAAAGTGTGTGAGATCACAAACCCAGAAGAGTAACACATGCAGAAACAATTCATCAGTGGGGATCTGAGCTGTACAGGCAGTCTAATGGGGCTTTGTCTTTAAGAGGTACTGAATCTGTAGCTAAGCTCTATAACAGTTGTCTAACCAGTTGTGTTGTTTCTTTTGGCAGCCAGTGGTGGAATAAAGAAGTCTGGCAAAAAGTAGTTTGACCAAACTGCAGGGTGAGAAGCCGTTGAGTTACTCAATGGATCTGCAGCTTCAGAGAGTCATGAAAACTCACTGTCATTTGGGAAACATTGTACATTTTGTGTAGTTGGAATAAACCTTTTTTGTTAAGATGTGATATTTTCTCTTTACCTGTAGGTTTTGTTCTCAAAATGGCATTACTGTGTTGTACTGGAAAGTATTACTGAAGACCACGTGTGACCTTAGGCAGCTTGAGTGCATCTGCTGGTTTGGTGGTCATTTGTGAGGATCCATTTCAACTTCTGCTTTCTTTTGACAATGGGATTCAGGGCCTGAGTGTTAAACCCTGCAGTGTTTTAACCTGGGGGTTTCGGTTGAGCTGCAGTTGTCCAAGATGTGGTTGTACCAGCAGCTGCTCCTGTAAGAGCTGGAAGTTTTCTCTAAACAAAAGGTGGGGATATACTTCCATCACTGGCCAAGTCATTACCTTAGGGTCAACCCTATTCAAAACAATACTCCTTTTCATATTACTACTTAAGTATCCTGTGGTGCAGTGCCCTATAGTCCCAGTGGTTGCTGCACATACACTTACCTTTGCCCTTTGCTTTGTTTTCCTTGAACTTCCACATACGGACATCATCACAGCTCCTTTACACCCACAGCAGTGACTTTGGGTGGGAGAAGGGATGGTAACAATGCTTATGGGATTATAACTTAGTTTTTGAAATGAACAGCACTACACGGGGTATGGAAACGTCAAGGCAGGAACGTGATGTTCCCAAGGGAGCAGTTAAGCGGGAACGAGTTAACACCGCTTCTCACCTCAGTGAATGGTAATGGTGGGGTACTGGCTGCTCCCTCTGACAGGAAAAGCGCCTGCAACAGGGGAATTGCTTCCGTAAGCAGTGAGGCACTTCAGCTGCCTGGTGGGTCCGAAGCGACATTCCGGGCTCAGCGGGAAGCGGCTGCGGGTGCCGGGTGTCAGCGCGCAGGGTGCTACCAAGAGGATCTGCCTTGTTACAAAGCTGTTTCTGGAGGGCTGAGGGTGTTGCCTTCCGCGGGGGGCTGTTCCTCAGGGCACGGATCATTCTCCTGCCAACAGGAGGCCCCGTTTCGGCCGGACAGGCGCGCACGGTGCCCCCCGCTCATAGGGGCGCACTGGGCACCAGCCCCGCTCCACCGGGGCCGCCCTCAAGGGCCGGGCTCTGCCGCCCCCACGTGGTCACGACCGGCGCTGGCGCATGCTCGCTGGCGGCGGGGCCGGGCTGAGCAGCCCGGAGGGAACGCGCGGAGCGCAGTACGCATGCGCGTGTCTCCTGTGGGAGGTGTGCCGTGCCGTGCGCAGAGGTGAGGGCAGGTCTGCTGTGGTAAGAGGCTGGGTCTGTGCCTCAGCGTTAGAGAACCCGGGTCCCCAAAGGGAAAAGCTTCACAGAATCCCAGACTGGTTTGCATTAGAAGGGACCTTAAAGCTCCTCCAGCTCCAACCCCTCACACAGGCAGGGACCCCTTCCACTGGAGCAGCTTGCTCCAAGCCCCTGTGTCCAACCTGGCCTTGAGCACTGCCAGGGATGGGGCAGCCACAGCTTCTCTGGGCACCCTGTGCCAGCGCCTCAGCACCCTCACAGGGAAGAGCTTCTGCCTAAGAGCTCATCTCAGTCTCCCCTCTGGCAGGTTAAAGCCATTCCCCTTGGCCTGTCCCTACAGGCCCTTGTCCAAAGCCCCTCTCCAGGTTTCCTGTAGCCCCTTTAGGCACTGGAGCTGCTCTCAGGTCTCCCCTTCAGGAGCCTTCTCTTCTCCAGGCTGACCCAGCCCAGCTCTCTCAGCCTGGCTCCAGAGCAGAGCTGCTCCAGCCCTCGCAGCATCTCTGTGGCCTCCTCTGGACTCCACATCCCTCTTGTGTTGTTACCCTCACAGCTGGACACAGTACTGCAGGTGGAAATAGAGAACAGAATACACAGTTGTATATGTAACACTGCCCATTTTAACCTGCTTTTCTAGACTGTACCCTTGTGTGAGCTTTTACAACACAAATGGTGTCTCACTTACTTTCAGAAATGAGAGTGTTCTACATGATAAATAGGTATTATTCTCCAGTCTGAAATAAAAGCTTTATGGTTAGTCTGCTTTTATATATAATGACTCCAGTAGTGCAAGTTTTAGGAAAAAAGAAAGGATTAAACAAAGCCATAAATATAACAGATGACAAAAGAGAGCATTTTCTGAAACAGCAAGCCAGTAATTTCAGGTGTCAAAACTGCTGCTTTTGTGAAGCATTTATTTGACTCTAACCGCCATTAGTTATTGATCTCTGCATTGCCTCTCTCCACTCCACTTCCCTCCACTGAATGATGAGTTACAGATCTCAGGAATGCAGAGACCATTAGGGATGTATGAAACACCGCTGTTTATGAGGTAAGATTCTGCACTTCTTAAAGGCAGGAGATTCAGTAGGTAACAGATTTCTTAAAACCATCCTGTATTTAGCAGCAGAGAACCTGCCTTTTAAATACCATTTCTACAGATGGAACTGAACACATAGTACCTCCAGAGCAGAAGCTAGCTGGGGAGCAACAGAGTAAAAGAACAGTTAGTCTTTTGAAAGAAAGCCATTAATATACTGCAAAGTTACTGTGTAAATGGCAAAGAGTTAAAAATGTACTCAACTAATTACTGCACAAAACCTCATGTAATTTTAATAAGACGAACAACCATCAGGGCAGAAGTTCACTTGTGATGTAAACTAGCTTTGCTCTCCAGGTTTATTTTGATCTGCTTACAGAAACTCTCCCAGATGCAGGAAAATGGTATTCTTGCCCAGAAGGTAATAAATTCTCTTTCAGTTCTTTACCTCACACCTCTTGCTTAGTGTTTTGCTCAGTTCGAGTCACTTGTCTGTAATATGACAGCATGGCATCTAGACTTTGGTAAAGTGTCTCCTGATTTTGAGCACCACTGCTTTTGGGCTGCACTGAAGGTGACGCATCCTGGTCACTGTGGCCGCAGGGCTGCACCCCTGGAGCTGCATCCTGGTCACTGTGGCCACAGGGCTGCACCCCTGGAGGTACATCCTGGTCTCTGTGGCCGCAGGGCTGCACCCCTGGAGCTGCATCCTGGTCACTGTGGCCGCAGGGCTGCACCCCTGGAGCTGCATCCTGGTCACCGTGGCCGCAGGGCTGCACCCCTGGAGCTGCATCCTGGTCACCGTGGCTGCAGGGCTGCACCCCTGGAGCTGCATCCTGGTCACTGTGGCCGCAGGGCTGCACCCCTGGAGCTGCATCCTGGTCACTGTAACCGCAGGGCTGCACCCCTGGAGGTACATCCTGGTCGCTGTAACCGCAGGGCTGCACCCCTGGAGGTACATCCTGGCTGCTGTAACCGCAGGGCTGCACCCCTGGAGCTGCATCCTGGTTAATGTAACCACAGGGCTGCACCCCTGGCGGTACATCCTGGTCGCTGTAACCACAGGGCTGCACCCCTGGAGGTACATCCTGGTTAATGTAACCACAGGGCTGCATTCCTGGGGGCGCACCTTGGGCACTGCAACCGTAGGGGTGCACCCCTGGAGGTGCATCCTGGGTGCTGCAACCACAGGGCTGCATTCCTGGAGGTGCCTCCTGGGGGCCGTAGCCATAGGCCTGCATTGGGAGTGGCACATTGTGAGCGCCATAGCCATAAGCCGACATTGGTGGAAGCGTACCTGGAGTGCCATAGCCATAATGCTGCATTGGAAATGGCACATCATGACTGCCATAGCCATAAGGCTGCACTGATGACAGCCTATGTGGAGCACCATAGCCATAAGCCTGCATTGGCGGTGGCACACCTTGAGCACCGTAACCATAAGCCTGTGCTGATGGTGGCGTATCCTCATCATCGCTGCTGTCATCTTCCGATGATGGCACAGCTCGAGCGTTACTGCCACAGGGCTCTGCTGATGCTGACTCATCTCGAACACTGCTGTTGTAAGCCTGCACGGATGGTGCCCCTTCTCCAGTGCTGCTGCCGTTGGCCTGCACTGACGGCATCCTCGGGTTTTGTGCTGTTTCTGGTTCCAGTTTTTCAGGGGAGGTGTCATTTGGTTCCGAATTCTGTCTTCTGTAATCACCACCTTTCTTTTGGCCCAGGAAGTATGCAGAAGGTGGTGCAAATTCTGGGTCTCGCTCATCTCTGAGTTCTTCCTGTTTCTTCAACCACTGTCCAAACATCAATTCTGGTAGAAAAAAGAAAAATGGTAGATTGAATATAGATTTCAGAGTCTGGGGATCAGTCAGAAAGGAAGGAAAACAAATCAGCAAACAGAAGATGCAGCTGTGTAAAACCATTTGAAGTTACTTTTCCACCTAGGACTGGATTGCTGGTGGAGCTGACAGTTCGCTTTCTTTACAGAGTGGGAATGAAAGCACTGAGTATTTAAAGATAAGCCATCCTCTACATAACTCATCCTGGTCACTGTAAGGTACTTTAACAATGTGGTCATTGGTTACAAAAAACAGCTGATCAGCTAGATGAGTCTAACTAAATAGAAAATAGAAACCAATCAAAGCATTAAGAACTTAGTTATTAGAAGATGAAGATGAGATTCTCTCTAGTGGACACAGCCATAAACTAGTAACTTCCTTAGTTCAACAAGAGTGGTAGATATTCTGGTTACTGTAACAGCTGCTGATTTCTGATTAAAACCAGTTCTGAAGTACTGCAATGGAGTGACAACTCAAGGTCACTACACTCAAAATGATAACCCCAAAGCCTACTCCAAAAACTTACTTCATTGCTTCTCAGTCTCACCATACAAAATGGACATGAAAGCAGCGGTGTGCAGTGTTTCTGCATCTACACCTCCTTACCTTTGCCTTTATCCCACTCTCGGACGTGAGGCACACCAGGCTTTGTATCTCTTCTCTCCTGGATCACAACCTCTACCTTTCTACTTGCTGCAGGAACTCTCGGAGCTTCTGGTTCATCAGTAGCACCTTTCACCTCTATGTTACAGAAAAAGAGAGTAGTGTTTGTGAACAACAAGATAAAAATCTACATGAACCTCACAGGAGAAATAGGAAGCAAGAGTTATTTGCATTTATAGAGCTCATACCAGTTATCTAATTCAATTCTAATAATGAAATGCATCTGAGTAGGGAGGTGATTTTTTTCCCCCTAATTACAGCATATTAATTCAGCAAAGATAATGGGCAAGAGGCAGATACCAGAAAACATATCCACCAGGAGACACTTCATTAGCTTTCTACTCGTATCAAAAAGACTGCTGAAAATCAACTGCCTAATAACCCCTAAAGCAAAGCGCCAAGCGTTATATTGAAACCAAAAAACTTAGGTAAAAAATAAGAACATTAGTGTGTTATCTCCATTTCATTTACTGGAGAAAATGGTCTGTGTTGTTCTTCTTCTGAACAACAGAAACAGCAGTGGCACAGGACTGTTCTTCATTTCCAGAACACTTCCCAGTTAATCACTTGCATAGAATTCTGACACAGTGAAATATTAGCAACATTTTACAGTGTGAGACAGACACTACAGGTTGAGCAGCAGTGTCATAAGGGAGACAGAGCAGAGATGGGATTAGAACTCCAATTCATCATCCTAGATTCTAAATCCAGCTGCATGTCCAATTTACAGACTGCACTAAAACTGTAGGACTGGATATATCAAAATTAACTTGTCACTGCTTTTTATTCTACTTCCTCTTAAGAAAGAGCCAGGAAGATTTCAGCAGCTCTATCCTCAACCTGCAGAATTAACCCACGTAATTCCTGCGGTCAGGTGTGCATCAAAAAAAGCCTACAGTCTACATACGGTATTTCTACCTTCATTATTAAGCTATTTCTGGCATGATTTTAAATCTACACACAATTACCTGAACTCTATCTTAATGGTTATACTATACAGAACACATCATACCAATATATTGAATGTCCAAACTTAAATCAATTAGAATATGCCTGTCCATCAAGTACAAGCTGAAATAGCAAGTGTTTAACTCAAAGAGGCAGCAGATCATACCTCCATTCTCCAGTTTCAATGCCTCTTCCTCTAATCCAGCTTCCCTTAACTTTTTAATCTTCCGTGCTCGCAGTTTAGACAGCCTTGCATCCAGAGCTGCCTTCCTTTTCTCCTTCAGCTGTTCACGTTTAGTTCTCTGATCTAGTGTCTTAACAGCAAAGAAAAATATGAATTAATATTCCTTTGTTATTATAATCAATTACATCCTCCTTCAGTAAACAACTAAAAGCAATCCTTATCAGGTACCATGCTTCAACAGGGAAAGAGACCAAATACTTTTTGAGTCAACTGTAGGCACCATCTAAGATAAGACTTATATAACAGATCAAAAACAGTGACCACTGAAATCAGGATACCCTCATAGCAGAGTTTGCTCTTTATGCTCGTACCTGCTCTCTGAGCATATCCAGCGTTGCTCGTTGTTTATGCCTAAGTTCTTTGTCACGAGAAAAGGCAAAGTACCCAACACCCAGCTGCCTGGCCTCTGCAAAGAGCATAAATAAATTTAAGTTCCACTCCATTTATAATTGACAGTAACTCCAAGCACTATGCACCCTGCTTTTCGGCATAGAATTACCCCCCACAACATACACAGCATTAAGTTTTAGGTGGCTAAAAAGGGCTTGGTTTAGATGATGCATGAAGTGAGGCTTCCTGAAGGAGAACACAGGAGCAGGGAATGACATTTGAAAGATACACTTGAGGAAAAATAAATCTAGATTTATGTAGTGGTAATTTGAATGAATTTTACACATGTGGCTTAACACCTACACTTTGCCATGTAGGCACAAGAAGTAACTTTCCCTTGCTTTCTCTAAATCTGATCTCTTTGGGGACATAAAGAGAAGTGATAATGAAGTTTGGAAGTATACCATTTTCTCGAATGTCCTCATAATGTATGGGTCCCATGGGTTTTCTGAGGGCTTCTTCTTCTTCTTTTTCCCACTGCTGCCTCTGAAGTTCTCTTTTCATGTCTTCAGATAAGAGAGTATTCCCATCAGGAACTAGTCTAATTAAAAATAAAAGGTAGGGATTACAGAGAAGTTTTACAGTAGCAAACAGTGAAAGTGTGACTGGGTCTGATCCACTCCTGCAGTTGTTACAAAACACATATCACTGCAGGCACCATTTAGTGATGCCACATCGATGACTATAGTACATGGTGAAGACAAACAAAACTATGCTCCGTAAGTGATGTTTTACATTCAGTCAGCATTTACATTGCAAAGTGTCTCTTAGTAGATTATTAATAACTTCCTTTGGGCTTTTATTTGAGAACCATGGTCTCCATCCTGTTGCTATTCCAAACCAATACACCAGCCATATATTTCAAATGGTCAGCTGCCAAGGTGAAACAAAACAGAAGCCTAGGAATAATATATGGATTATAGTAAGAAGTTCTGATCAAATCACTCATGCACAATTTCTCTGCAGCTATGCTATTTTTAAGGTATAATGTTGTAACCAGAAGCCTGTCTAAAGTAAATCAAGAGGAAGTAGTAGCATCAGTAATTCAGTATTGAGAATGGGATAACAAAGCACAGCCTCATTTTCTTCTCATTAAAAAAATGCATGTTAAACAATGCAAGGAGCATGCACTTCCATCAGAGAAACCACACCTTTTCCCTTGCAGTTCCTGATCCATTTTAAGTAGACCTGGCAAATCCTTCTTCATACAGCGTCTAGATCGGCCCAAGAAGTCAACATAATCAACCCTGTAATGAAAGCAAAGGAAATCTGAATCAGAACTTCCATTTGCAGAACTCTTTAACCAGAAGATAGAAGCAGTGGCACTTTCCAAAGAGAATTCATCACCTCTCAGTCTCTCCAACAGGCTCACAGGCCAAGGGGCTACATTCTGAATAGGGCATAGGACAGTTTTATCACAGACATTTCAACCCCCTCTCTCTGAGCCAGCATTTGCCTTGGCAATTAAGTAGCATTAAAAAAAATGAAAGTTACAACGTTGTGTAGTTTTCACACCAGAAAAAACTGACCCTGGTACTTGCTTCCCATGGTGAAAATAATGACAAGGCATTGACTTCTTACAGATATGAAATTGCTGCAATACACTTCAATTATCAGTCTAAAGCTCATTTAGAGTAGGCTGATAGCATTCATTCAGCTGCCATAACAAAGGCTGACTAAAATGCAAGTGAAATGTTCCTTTGAAGCACATATTGTGCTGCTTATTATTTATAGCACTGAACACTTAATTCACAGTTGTTGAAAGGCTGTTAAGAGCTGTACTTACTGTGCTGTAATGCCAGGAAGTTCTTGATCATCAAGCTACTTCAATTATCCTGTCTAAAGAATTAATACTACACCTGAAAAAGTATGACTGGCAAACTGGTTCCCAAAACCCAAACTTGTAAAGATCTGCTTTTACATAATTTCTAAGGATATCTACAGCTCAGCATGTACTCTTTGGGTTTTATTATAAGGTGACATTAGTAGGAAAACATCTACATTCTCTATAGTAAAGATGTAACTACAGCTGCAGAATAATCAGCATTAACTACGCCAGTACACAAATATCCTCATTAGGGTCTGGCCTCACTGAGATGGAGAGTCTATTAATAATAACAACACATGTCACTGAAGTGAGATGTAGGCAGTGATGAAAAAGCACCATGTGAATGGTAATTTGTGATACCTTAAGGCAATGAGAGCACAAATCAATTTGAGCCCACTGCTAGTAGTTTCATCCTGAATTTCAGCAGGATGCTGGGAGTGGGTGTATCTGCCTTCCAACCTGCTGGATTCACTCTTCCAGTTCATTCTGAAATACTGCAAATCTGATCTTGGCCCAATAAACCAATAAAGGGGGAGGGGGCTCTGTTTCTTATCTGTTAACGCTCTTTTAAACTGATCATGAGAAATAAAATCTCTGTTCCATAAACATTTTGAACAAATGGGAAAGGAAAATGTTTAGTCAGATCCATTTCATAACCATCCCAAATGTCTTGGATGAAAAACTAGTGTCTCCTTGGAATGTCACACACAATTGTCACAGGCTATTGGCTGTGCTGCAGGTAAACAGTGGAAGTAATGCTGGAAAAATCATGTTTTCCCTGTCAGTGTTTCTCTCCTTTAAGAGGAGGTCACACAGTGAAAATGACTGCTCATTTCATAAATCACACACAAATAGAGAAGGCTGATACAATAATACCCCCACGTTTTCCTGAAGTACATTTCAAGGCTCCAAAGTATATAATTGTATCAATATTGCAGTCAGAACTGCCAAAAACCATGCAAGAGAATGAGAGGACGTTATGACATCTCACTTACAGTACAACTCCCCAGTTGCTATTTCTCTAAATCCCAGATGTAGATTCTACTGCAGTGTTACCCACAGGGGAAGGAAAAGTCAGGACAGCCAAGCCCAATCCCTGGTACCAACCATTCCTCATCTGGGTCCTCAGGTGGTGGTATTTCCATTTCAGGTTGAGCATCCTCCTCATCTGTGTCTTTTTCCAAAGTCTTTCCAGCAGCTTCGCTCTGATACAGCTCCTGCACCTCGTGCTGTTTGTCTATGATCTTCTGAGTGAAATCCACTAGGTACAAATCCTCCGTTTCTTCATCTAAGGCAGAAAATCAATTCTTAAGAGAACAGCCATGAAAAGAACAGAACTGAGCACAAAATCAATACAAAACAGCTACAATCAGCTTTTCAGCTGCCAGCAAAAGCCTTGACTACGCTATTAGGGAATACTTAAATCTCATTCAGTGCCAAACAAACTTGGAGCTGCAAATCAGCTCCATAGCAGTAACTTCTATTTCTGAATAGAGGTTCTGGGGTATTTTAAAGCAATTCATCTTTTGTGTACAGTACAGAACAAGTTGAGTATTTGCACTAAAACATTCTCTGCCCATTAACCAGTTCAGCAGCACAGGGTTTGCTGTGGAACAGCTGAAATACTTCCTTGATGCTTAACACTTGGTAAGTCAGCAGGAGTAAAGCTGCCCCTGGAGCACTTCTTAGAAGAGTACAGAAAAGTGGTGGGGTCCCAAGGACAAAGATGGACACTAATAAAGAAAACACGGGAGATGAGCCACAGATATAGATTCTTGCTTCTTGCAGGGGACTGAATGTGAGAGAAGAGAGGGACAGATCAGAATTCCTTAACACTATGAACTGCACAACTGGCACTCACACATGGACCAGCCAGAGTGCCCTCCTGCTCCTCTTCATAAAGGTCCAAGAATTAAGATGCAGGACACAACATCAGCAATGCAATACAAAGACTGCATAATGAGCAGTAAATTCATTTTGGTTTTCTAAGATTCTATACTGAAAAAAACCCAGAATATATTCCACCCACTTACTGAGTGAAACAGCCCATCGTGCTTTACTAGGACAGGCTGTCCTTCAGAAAGTCATTTCATTTTCTCTAGTATCTATACTTTTTCACCCTTTCAAAGCAGAATAACCCATGTCAATCACTTCACACAGTAACTCAAAAAATAATTCCCATGTACAAGGACAAGCACCGAATTCATAGTGTTGCTGCTGTGTGTCACCAGAGTCAGAAATACCAACTTCCAGGGAACACTTTAAAACCAAGTTTTATATATGTGTGTACATATATATATAAAAATACTCATTTAAACTAGTTTTCTTTTCACCTGGAAAGTTGCCTTTGCTCATTTTCTCATAGAGCTTTGCTTTCTCTTCTAGTTTCTTCCTGAAAAAGAAAAGCAAACCAAACCAAACATTGCAATCCCTCCAATTCCAAACACAGTTAAAATAACCAGTGTAGCCTTAGAGAAATGGAACAGCAAAGTACCAGGAGCACTTGAAATGTTCACTAGAAGCTGAGTGATGCCTGGTTTTGGTTTTGAAGCTTAACTGACTTTCAAAGGACCCAGATCCAGTTTCTGAGTTCATAATGAAAAGCATTTTAGTGAAGTTACAGAATTGATCTTAATTGTAAGTCAGGTATGTGGGAACATGATGTAGCAAGTATTCCACCTCTAACTACTACAATTAGTAGTACTGGAAGTACTGACAGTTATTCAGTACTGGAAGCTATTTGCAGGTATGAGATACTGAAATACTCTTTTACAGGGAAGGGGAAGGAAAAAAAAAGAAAGATCATGGAGTTACACTGAAGCTTAGAAACTGAAGAGAAAACCTGAGCTCTTTCATGGAATGGTAAAAGACAAGTTTGAAAAGCAAGGACCTGCTTACAGAAAAACAGCAAATGGTTTATAATTCACATTTTTAACATACATCTTATTGTATAACTCACACTTTTAGAAAATGAGCTAAATCTTGAAATAAAATGAGCTGTTTTCTGTCCAAGAAACACTTTGCTGTAGAATTCTAATGCACTGCTGCCCTGGCTTTTAATTTTGAAGATGACTTTCAAAAAACCAGTAACCTGACAGACTGAGAGAGCTCTGATAATGTGAGGGCAGCCCCAGAGCACGAGAGTGCTGGGATCCAGTTTGCACGTTACTGATGAAAAACACAAGATCAATGCTGGTCTTACTCGTTGGTCTAATGAGAACTGCTGGTCCAAAACACATGGAACTTACTTTATGTGCTTTTCTAAACACTGGAAAGCAAATTCTAGAAAGCATTCCTTCCTTACAGAGCCTGAGAGCTACCTTGATGTATCCAGTATCTGCTCCTCTTCCTTCTTCTGCTCAGCATCTTTCTCAGCTCGATTTGCAACTCCTGTGTTTTGTTTGTTCCAGATACTTGGTTTCTGTGGGTACAATTTTATAACAAATAATAAAGATACAAGTAAATAATAATGCTGAAATGGCTAATGATTAAAAAATATTTCAACTCCACAATGCAAACTCTGCAAATCAATCATGAAAGACTTCGTAAGTAACAACCATGACTGACTTGAGACTACCCTCTGCTGAGTTGTACGACAGAGCAGGTATGTCCTAAAATTAGACTGCAGTACAATCTAACAGTTAAGGACAGGCTGAGAAGCAAAGAAAAGGTACTTAGAAATCAAACAAACTCTATTCTGACAAAGATGTTAAGGTAAAAACAAAATCAGTAATCAGCACGATTGTTCTTATTAAAGTAACAACAAAGCTATGAATTTTTTCTGTTCTCTATTACCTTCATTTTAGATACAAAATACAATCAGTTTGCCCATTTGCAGCTGAACACTGTAAATGCTGCTTGTTCTTCAAATATAGCAGCAATACTGAATCCTACTACTGGAAAGCGAATAAAACCAAATGTGCAGTAAAGAGTAAAATATGAGAGAACTGTGCATATTGTGAATTGTGATATAAAAGAACTGAGAGCAGAGCATTCATCAAGAAAGTTCAGTGACTCTGGAAGAGTCTTTCATCCTCCCATCCTTCAGGGAACAGTACAAAACCTTGGAGAAAAGAAAAGCAGCATCGTTTTCTGTAGTGAAAAAGCTGTGGCTCCTGGGGAATGAAGGTTAAGAGGCAATTCAGGTGGACATAAGCCTGAGACAAGTTCTCTGCTATGCACAAGAACCTCACCCAAGTATGAAATTTAAAGACCACCCTCACTGTGTAGATTTTACATCTGAGGAGTAACACAGCTCTGAGTACTTACTGATTTAGATTTGATTAGGAACTTCCTTATTTTAAAGGGAAAGAAGACACAAAACAATGGAAAAAAATTTCTACCTTATTAGAAGTCCTGGGCTTTGGGAAGACGCCAGCATCTTTCAGGAGCTTTTCTTTCTTGAATTCCTCTTGCTTTCGGAAGAGTTCTGCTTTGAGATCTACCAACTACAGCAATAGCAAAATAAACCAATAAATAACCAAGATACTTCACACACTTTTTATACATCAGTTACTGTAATAACTAACAGTATTTCTAGTTAAACAATCTGGCATTTACACTTACATGAGCATCTGACTGCATTTTTATGTGGAGCTTTGAAGCACCGATGCTACCAAAGATCACTCTAAGTTTACAGCAAATAATACACATACCCCACAAGACAGATTATTATTAAGGATTTAATAAAACCTGAAAGATATCCTTTGGTACATAATGGAAATGAGACACATAATTCCATACAGATTCTACCGGCCTCCCAGTGGCAAACAAATAGAGGAGGACTAATGAAATTATGCTGCTGAATTTGAAAAGGAAACTTCAGCCATTACATAAGAATCCTGTCTCAGAAAACAACTGATAAAAGCCTGCTCTCATAAAATACATGCACTTTCCCACTGGTTTATATACTGTTTATATCGATGGTTCTTTCTTCTTCTTTTCCCCTCTAACAAATACAGAAGTAGAATTGCCATTTTGACCAGTGTCCATCTCCTCTGTTATTAGGAAATATCACCAGCCTGGGTATTATCTTGAGATTACATTAATAAACCACATCTGAAAGAGAATGTTGTGCCCCTTTCCCTGCAAGCCCTACATAACATAAATCTCACAGATGTACATTAAATCAGGAAAGCGGAACACTTTGGTATTAATAGTGTTTGGAATACTAAAGCATTTGCTTTTCAGGTCCTTGTAACAAGGATGCACAGTGTTGTAAATTAACCCTTTCTCCTCACTGCTTAAAAGCGATCATCCAAAACCTCAGTGTTAAATATTTCATATACAACAACTCACCGTTTACACTAACTGCTTACTCGGAAAAATAAAGTGTTTCAACAAAGTCCCTTATTAACAGACTGCTGGGGAGCAGTGAGGCACAGCACTGGAGACCTGTCCTCAAGGGTCTGAGGTTGATCTGGCAAGATACAGACCCCCTGTACCTTAGGAAAAAGAGGAAATCATAGAATCCCACCCTAGTTTGGGTTGGGAAGGACCTTAAAGCTCCTCCAGCTCCAACCCCTGCCACAGGCAGGGACACCTTCCACTAGAGCAGCTTGCTCCAAGCCCCTGTGTCCAACCTGGCCTTGAACACTGCCAGGGATGGGGCAGCCACAGCTTCTCTGGGCACCCTGTGCCAGCGCCTCAGCACCCTCACAGGGAAGAGCTTCTGCCTAAGGGCTCACCTCAGTCTCCCCTCTGGCAGGTTAAAGCCATTCCTCCTTGTCTCCTCACTATCCCCTTATCAAAAGCCCCTCTCCAGTTTTCTTGTAGCCCCTTTACGCACTGGAGCTGCTCTAAGCTCTCCCTGGAATCAACTCCAACTTCACTGCCGTGCCTCGATTTTATCACATCGGGAAGAGGGGCAAATCCAGCCCTGGCACCCTCAGATGAAGAGCGCGGTGCCTACGCTTGGTGAGGAAGGCAAAAGAGCCAAACCCGCAGCGCCAGCCCCTCACACCCCAAGACGGGAGTGCAGACACCACGCTCTCCATCAGCGCCTGCCGCACCGACCGCGCAGCTCAGCGGGGCACAGAAAGCACGCCCCGTGTTTTCTTGGGCTAGCTTCTCCGGGAGCGGCCTGCACCGGCCGAGCCCGTCCGCCGGAGCGGGGCAGGGCTGGCCGCCCCCACACCGGACAGGCCTCCCCGGTGGGACGGGGAGGTTTCGTTTCCTGCCCCCCCCCCCCGGTTTCCTGCCCCACTCACCGAGGAAGCGGCCACCTCCAGCGGCTTCTTCCTCCGGTCCATGGCGCTGCCGGCCGCCTTCTTCCGAGCTTTACGGCCTTACCGTAAAGCGTAGCGGAAGCCAGGCCCTGTTGCGACAGTGCTGGTGAGGGAAGGCGGGCCCTTTCCTGCCGCCATGTTGGGGAGGTCAGAGGGGCTCCGCATTAGTGCGGTCCTACCGGCACTATCGCACCTCATCGTGGCTTCGGGCCGCCTGTGTGCGGCGGTGACAGACCCTTCCTTCTCCAGGGCCTCTTGTCGTAACCGCAGGGCGGCCTGCGGGAGAATCTGGAGCGCTGCCTGGTGCTGGAGACAGCCGTGTCCTTCAGCGCCAGGCTGGGGTTAGCCCTATGGCTGTTGCTCTCAGGGCTGCTTTGTTTAAGGCATACGCTTGGGATGAAGGGCTGTGGCTGTTCTGCTGCCTCGAGCCTACTGCCTGCATGGAGCCCAGGTGAGGGAGGTGGGATTAATAAACCACAGCTCATTAACACTGTAAGTGTCGTCCATAATAGCTAAATACAAACCCGCCTCTATCAATAATGAGCGAATATAAACCCACCTGTATGCATAGCAACCAAATACAAACCCAATTCTATCCATAATAACAAAATACAAAGCTATCTGTATCTATAATAGCCAAAACTCACACGTGCTGAACCCAGCCCTGTAACCTCAGAGGTGAGCACAGGTGACTCTTAGGGAATGAGTGTTTCACTTCCCCAGGGTAGGTCATTGTATCTGTTATCATCCCCATGAAGAAAAAGGGCTGTGATAGGTTTTAATTCACAGTGATTCTGAAGATCATGATTATCTGGAGTCGCAAGAGGAAGCTGCCTTTCACTTGTCTTTAATAAAGTGGGAATATATAAGGTGCTGCGATGTTGTTGCTCAGCAATGTGACAGCTGATGGAAGCACCTGATACAGCTGCTTTGGTTTGTGAAGTTTATTGCTGTTGTGTTTGGGAGCTGGGTCAGGCTCCTATTTAAACAGTTTGTGGGTGCAGAACTGCAGGGCTGACAGAGACACTCAGCTGCTAAGTAAGCTACAGCTGTATTCCGGGGAGCATGAAGTGTGCAGTTCAGCAGGAGCAGTTTCTGGCCCTACTGAAGCTGTCTTGCTTTGGACTTTTTAAATGGGAAGAGGTGGGAGACAACAGACACGGAAAAGTGCAGGTCGTGTCAGAGCCCTGAAGTTTGCTGCTTTCATCTGCGATGGGAGAAGGGAACTGAGCATTACTGAAAAATAGGACAAAGGAATGAAAACATCTGCACTGCTCTAATTAAATCTCACTTCAACAAATCCCCCGTTGGTGCCTGTTCAAACCTCAGCAACAACACTGAGAAGGAAATCCAGCCCAACCCCAGCCCAGGGTTGGCTCTGACCAATTCCTACCCTTCCTTTGGAGGCATGGCCTGTGCAAGGGCACATTTCCCCCCCCAAAGTGCATTGATTCTTCTCCACATTGCTCCCATCCTACATTACAGCCATAGGACTCGCTTGTTCCCCCATTGTCACAGGTTTCCAGCACTTTCAGGAGCTCAGGAGTAGCTTTATCTTGAGCCTCCCACCACATGAAGTGTTCCTGAAGAGCTGGCAGTCAGTCCCAGTCCTGTGTACCTCTTTATAACTGCAGGTGCAAAAACACGTCAAGAAATCTCAGTCTTCTGAAAACTTGGCCTGTAGAATATGATGTTCACTGGCTAAGCTCAATGTCTGAGGCTCTGGGGTAGAAAACCCTTCATGTAATGTAACACTAGAGAGCTGCTCGGGGACTTCAGTGCTGCTGAGGCTTTCTGACTTGAATGTAGAAGGATGCAAATGCTGAGTCTATTTGGGCTACATGTTTTATCCTGTCATCCCTCCCCTTCAGATGCCTGAATCCAGACCTTTGCTTGCAGGATTCCTTACTCCTTGGCCCTCCTAAGCCCCTGTAAGACTGTTTGCAGCTCCTTCCTGCATTATGTCCTTCCTGTTGCATTTTCATGCTATGGCCTGCCCATCTCACTCTTAGCAAACTGCTTTCGGCACCATCCTGAATTCACTTCCTAGTAGCACTTTTCATCTTTACAAGCAAACTGACCTTCTCTTGTGATGTTAGAAGCAAATTCTGTTTTTTCACATGTACAAATCTGGGTTTTTTTTTGCTTTGGTTTGGTTTTGTTCTGTTTGTTCTCTCCTTCCTGCACTCTCCCCTTTTGTATTTACCTGCCTGAACTGTGCTGGAACAGCACTCTTTGTTTTGGGTGTTGCATAAAATAGCTCAGTATCATCCCAGCAGCCCTCTATGTCCTTGGATAGTCTTAGGGGATGTGTGAAGATGGAATGAGGCCCTGGAGGTGTCAGCATCTCTCTTAAAATGCTCCTTTCTGGTTGAGAGTGAGGTGCATGACCAGGGTTGTAAGGAAAAGCCGTGCTACCGAGTGACTGTGTCACAGGATGTGGAAAAAGGAATGAATCTTAAGACATTGCAAGCTAGCTCGTGTTGTTGCTGTGAGCAAGGACCACAGAGATGGAACTTCTGCCCTTGCAAGAAACAGATTTAGCTCGTGTCCCCTCTCAGCATCAGCATCACTAACAGGCAGTGACAAAAGCAGACCTGGACAGAGGGGAGCCTCATGCTTGCCGGTGCAGTGGTGTTGCTCTGTAAGGGGTATGGGATTCTGCACTGAAGCACACATCCAGAGAGATGGCTTTCAGAGCACTCTGTACGTGTTGGTTCAGTAGTTTTGTATTTACGGTCTGAGAACTGACAAGCTTTCCCACATCTGGTTCCCTCCAAAAGGCTCGATATCGACTCTAACCAGTGGAAGGCTGTGGTGCACATTTGTTTCTAATCCAGCCCACAGGCATTCATAAAATGCCAGTGAGGGAGGGGGAGCCGGAATAAGAACACTTCCAAGTTGTGAAACTAAATCAGCTTGACCTAAAGGAATGAGGTGGGGAAGGGGAGGAATCTCTCTGTGTGTATAGCACAGACTGAAGTGTAGCTGTGCTTATTTCCTACTGGGAACCTGTGAAAACTCTATAAACTACCATGTCTAACCTTAGCCGATAGCCCGGAATTCCTGGGGAATAATTGATTCAACATTTCTAATTAGTATGCTGCTCATTTAGCATGAGGCCTAATTGTGTTTACTTCCACAAAGCTGCACAACACAAAAAGCTTGTTTGTTATTTTGGGGGAAAATGGGGGATCTGAGGGGATTTTGGATGAATCAGTGGCGTGTCAGTGTCTTGTGAGATTGGTGGGAGATGCTGCACAAACATGGAATTAATCAGTTGTAAAGCTTCAGTGTGGATTTCTACCCAAACTAGACTTACAGGAGCCCCACATCAAATTATATTGATGTTTGGGAGATTTGCTGTTCTGAAACTGATTCTCTTATCACAGACACGAAGGTTTCATCCTCCCCTAAGGCTCTGATGTTCTATCTTACTTTCTACATCTTGGCTTTAAGATGAAATAAAACTGTGGACAAATAACAGCTGAATGTTTTGTGAGATAAGCCTTAGTGCTAGGGCGCTGTGTCCTCACACAGTTTCATAGACACTTGACATAAGGCAACTTATCCGTGTTTCTCTAAGGAATGGAGAAATTCCTTCTGGTTTTCTTTTTCCAGGCTCTTCATCTCAGAAGTTATCATATGAAGGAATTGGGGCTGCCTTTTTAAAAACCAAGCAAGGGTTTTTTTTGCTTTCCATGGTTTGCATATGTACATGTACTAGAATATTAGTTCATTGAATTTGTTTGTCTTGGTGTGTATGAGGCCAAAACCAACTGGGGAACAAGCAAAATCGTTTGCAAACTACTAATTCTTGTAACATGAGAAATCCTGGAGTGTTTCTTTCCCCACTAGCAGAGATTCCATCTCTTCCCAAGTCCCAGCATACCTTTTTTTAACCTACTTCCCTTTATTTTCCTATAGGCACCTGAAGAATACCCCAGGTTTTTGTATTTTAGCATTGCCTTTTCAGAAGTGTCAGATTGCTGCAGCAAAACAAGAAACCAAAAGCCCTTTGGTACAGGTCCTAGATGGACTTTATAAATGATTGCTTTTAGCAGGAAGACCAGAAGTTAAAATCCTCTGGGTATGTTATTAGCAGGTGTGCACGTTAGGAGAAAACTATTTCTTTGATAAGAAGGGTTTTGCACGATCTTAGGCAGGAAACAGAAACCAGAAGTGGTGCATAATAATAGTGTTTAACCTCTTTCTGGCATGCATGAGGCTTACTCTGGTTTTGCCTCTTGGGTCACAAGCTGCAATGCCAGACTGCTTTTGTGCTAGCTTATTTTTGCTTGCAACCTACAAAAGAGGCACAGGAGACAAATCTGGTGGTGGCTTAATGCTAAATTGAGAAGAGATCTAAAGTAGCCTTGTTCTGTGGGAACCTGTATTTTACGTACAGTTTTATAAAGCACTTGAAATAGTGTCTTGTGTCAACAATATTGTCCTCTCTTCTCTCTTTGTGGCGTGAGAATTGAGTGCTGTTACGTGCTACTTGTGTAGAAATTGTAATTCCTCTCAAATATAGCTAGAAAAGAGGGATTCCCTAAGAGCATCCATCAACTTAGATCAGAAATAGGCTTAATGTCATCTTAAAACAGAACCTGTGGGAGGGAGATAGTTATTGCAACTGGAATTAGCTTAGAAAACTGTTATTGAGAGCCATGATTTTTTTAGTAGGCTTTTTAGCAAGCCTTGATGAAAATGGGGGGCATAACAAGCCTTCCTCCTTTGGGGAGCATGTTCTGATAGCCATAAGAAAAAATGAGTACCAGTTCTAAAGAAGAGGTTTCTCTGTTTTCCTGTACTAAGGGTTATAAATACATATATTTGCTAAACTGGAGATGTAAGAAGCAAGCAAGTTCCATTGAAAACTGGTTTATAAATTACACTGGGGTGTGGGGGTGTGTGGCTATGAATATTTTCATCCTCTAAACAGGAACCCAAAGCTATTGTATTACACTGTATTGTGAATATATTGTTGTCTGTGGTTGCTGTGTGGCTGGCATAAAAGACAAACATGCCCTTTAAGGAATTGCTCAACTCCTTGAGATTTACCCATTCGTCTGTCCACCCTTCTCTCACCATCTGTTTCTTTTGCTGTGAACATGTGAAGTTGCTCCATCCCTGCAGCAAAATGCAGCCTGGATGGTTCACAATCAGGATTTTGCAGGAAGCAGAGCTTTCCTCTCTTTGCAAGCACGGATGGACTTGTCTCCCATCAAGGTGTAGCCCTATAAGGAAGCTGGGTTTTGTATTCCA